GAACTCTAAATCATCTAATATTTACATTTATGGACTGCAGTCGCATTTACATTATATTCTACGTTTGGCTAGATTACTAGAACCATAACAATCCCATTGGAACTATTAATTATCTACAATTGTGGATTCTGGTACCAAATACAACTCGAACACACCGAATTTTGCTGATTTAAGTAACGTTCTTAAATTTTTATTTGTGTTTATAACTTATAACTGATATATTATAACATTACCGTTTATACGTAATAACTTTATTACTATATTTGAATTGATCTATTTTTGGTCTACCACAAGTTTTGGATTACGTGATGCTGGATCGTATATTACTCAGCGCTGAATAAAATTATAATTTTTTTTAACGTCACTAATCTGTTTTCATGAATTTAACTGGTGAAGCTCATACATATCTAATAACTGAACTAAAAACGGGAATTCTGGCCCAACTTTGAGGCAATCTGGGCAACACTGGCTAAGAAAATGTCGTGTTTGTTCAGGTGAATTATCAACTAAAAGCCGTTTTTCTGCAGAGGATTGGGAAGCAATAAGATACTCCGCCTAAATGTCTCCTACGACGCGAGAAGTTACAAATTCACATCCTTACAAGCAACCAATAAAGGTGAAATGACTATTAAGTATTTTGGATCAAATCTCTTCCTACGTGATTTCGTCTATTACATCTTAGGATACGCAGTGGTGATAAGGGTGTGAATGACAAACTACTGATTGCGGAAACTCTGGATGTTGGATTTTTTAAATAAATCACTTTTGTAATGTACGCCTTTCTCGCTATTGTCTTCCATGTTGGGACTGTTCATGACATTCGTTTTTTATTTTCTTAAGTGTCGAACGACGACTATGGAACTAGTAAGTTAGTACGAAGACGTCGCTGTGATTGGGATTTCAATGTTTGTGTTAATTGTGTCAACTATTAATGACAATGAAAATAAATTTTAAATGAGACGTCAATTATTATTTTCATTGATGGGAATTTGCAAAATCTTCATTTCGTTTGAGACATTTAAACGAAGTGTCTGATAATTTCCCTATCGTATGCAAGAAAGATAACATTTAGTTGCAATTTCGCCTAAATAAACACCAAATTTTCTTAGCCAATGTCGCACACGTTTCCTCAGATTTTGCCTTTTTCCCCGTTTTGTTGTTTGCTTGAAATGGATTCGTAATTTGTAAGTAGTGTTTTTCAAAATGTTTATTACCAATGTGATCTCAAAGAGCTGATGCCGGCGTCCAACTAGCGGAAAGTTGTTGAAATTGTTAACCCTTTTTATAGTAATGCTAGCTCACCTTATTTTATGCTGCAAAAATGCCCTTGATTAACGATATCGTAAACTGTAACAAGATCGTCTTCGTTAATATTCGTCGATAAGAATTTACGTGTTATTCCACGCTGTAAATAAGTGACACAAAATGTAGTAGTCTTATACTGTTGTTGAATCCGAACTCGGAAATACTTCGTTTCGTCGTCGTCCCCATCAAGGTGACTTTAGTTGTATATTCCGGTCTTAATATCTAGGATGAAATCGATGTTTTCGGCTGGTTATGCACCGACCTAGTTATCATTCCTGTCTAGAAAGTAAACAAATTGTAAACTAAACCATTTTACTTTTAGATTTATGTCAAGTATCTGCTTGGTGAAGGAAGATTTGCATCTAACTCTTTTAAATATTCTGCTGTTAGTAAAGAGAACTGTAACCTAACTAATCCCTCGTCAATCTTTTTACTGATGATTTAATATGGGTGTTTTTTAATGATAACATCTGTATCATTGGCTGACGATTGGGCAACGTTGGCTGAGAGTTTCGTCATGCTCACGTTTATCCTTGACAATTTGTAAGACTGAGGACCTTCGAACTAAACATGATCATCTCCAGTTGAACCATTACCAGGCGTCAATGCACTGGCTAATGGCAACGATTCTACTTCCGTTGAAATTATCTATACAACTTTGTAGAGATAATAGACTTACTTAACATTTGGAGAAGTTAAAGTTTATAACAGCCCAATTTTTGGCTATTCCCCCTAAGTGTACCCAGCTTGCATTTCTGAGACATCCAAATCGACAAAACTATGCAGGCATTAGGCGTTTGCTTCACTATGTTGTTGCAAAAGGTGAACATTAATAACTCGCCCACCGTCTGGGTTTGTCTCTGTGCAACGGAATGGTGTTTCATCATGAGTTACTTTATTCAACTACACTGGTCAATAACAACCAAGTCTAATACACAACCAGAATCGTTTGTAGGTGAATAATTAATATATTTATAACTGATCGAAATAGTGCAAAACGACACATTTGACAGTGGGTCAACTGTCGTCCCATTTTACGCTGTTCCTTAACGCGATGTCTATTGAGCTTTCCGGATACGTGTATAATTTTTTATTAATGAGCCACTTGGTGGTCACAATAAGAATCTCCTTCATAACAGAGGCAGTTATAATTGCCAACTTCTTGAGTGTAGACTGAAGAAAATTTCTAAATAAGAAGTTAGTATACTAATGAAAAATGTGTAAAATGCATATTCTACGTACTGAAACTTATGCTACCGGGGGGGATATGACTTCATGGCTAAAAATGTTGTCAGCCATGCACTCATGAAACCTCACTAATGGTTACCCAGATATGCTCATGGCAAACTACTGAGGACTTAAATATACCTATATCACTGGACGTTGTCAGATGTGTTATCATTGTAATGTGTGTGATATTTTGTCTTCATTACAGTGTTGATGTATCGTAAATCAAAATATAAAAAAGGGGTTTGTTTGTTATTTAGGAGAATGTATTTTATTCTGTACGTTTAAAGTTTTTTTCATGCATGCACTTGTTTACTGTCTGTTATTTGGATTAACTCATATTGAAATAACATTGGGCCTAGACTCGAAGTCATAGCCTCCATGTTACCTTGTTGTATAAAACTCGCAGACCAATGAATGGACACTTTCTCAAACTCATCGGTCATGGTCACAGTTTGAAAAAACAATGACAGATGGAAAGTAGATCGAAATAACCAATTATGGCATAGATCGATAAGACGGAATAGATAGGTAACATTGAAATGCTTATGACCCCAGCGATAAAGAATTAGTAAATTTACATATATATATTGGGTTAATAGGATTCCTGTTAGATTAAATTCTATTATTTTGAAGGCACTACTCCTCACCCCTGCACCTACGTACATTACTCGAGTCAATCAGCAGATTTATTCGCTAGATAAACTCTCCCCTAAAGTGTAGTCTTGATTCATTTCGTTTCACTTTTTGGGATTAAACAGTGACTCGGTAGACCGCGAGACTCTGTGGCAGTGTCTGTCATTGAAAGGCGTACCTCAGAAGTACATAAACCTTGTGAAGGCTCTTTACTCGAACACTACTAGTCGAGTCAGGGCTTATGGCGAACTGTCATCTACTTTTGCAACCTCAAGTGGTGTCCGTCAAGGCTGTCCACTTTCTCCATTTCTGTTTAACTTCATCATAGACCTATTGATGGAAATAACACTCTCGTCTACTGAATTCTCGGGTATTGATCTCCTTCCAGGAGGTCCACTTATCGACTTAGAATACGCAGATGACATAGTCCTGTTTGGTGAAGACGCTGACAAAATGCAGAGTCTTCTGGCAGCACTAAGCAACAATGCCAGAATGTTTGGGATGCGCTTCTCTCCCTCTAAATGTAAGTTGTTGCTTCAGGACTGGTCTGGGTCAGCACCTGAACTAAGGATAGGGAGTGAAGTAGTTGAACGCGTTGACAACTTCACTTATCTTGGAAGTCTGATCAGCCCAAATGGGTTGGTGTCTGACGAAATCTCAGCACGGATTCGAAAAGCTCGTTTGGCTTTTGCCAACTTACGTCACCTTTGGCGAAGGCGAGATATCCGTCTATCATTAAAAGGACGAGTATACTGCGCGGCAGTTCGTTCTGTTTTACTTTACGGCAGCGAAACATGGCCCTTAAGAGTAGAAGACACCCGTAAGTTACTAGTATTTGACCACAGATGCCTTAGAAATATTGCTGGCATCTGCTGGGATCACCGGGTAAGTAATAGTGAGGTTAGACGCAGGGTATTAGGGAATGATAGTAAATCAGTTGATGAGGTTATGAATCTTCATCGACTGAGATGGTTGGGCCACGCATTACGTATGCCTGAACACCGATTACCACGACGTGCAATGCTAACCGGGGTAGGGGATGGTTGGAAGAAAGTTAGGGGCGGCCAAACCAAAACGTGGCATCAGTGCCTGAAGTCACTAACTTCTAGTCTGAGCCATGTTGGTAGATGCAGACTACTTGGTTGGGGTCCGCGTGACTATCGTAACCAATGGTTGGAGACTCTTGGTGACATGGCTCAGAATCGATCACAATGGCGTCGGTGTATACACTCCCTGTTTTCCCTTAAACTAAGAGACTAAAATAACTTCATTCTTTCTGTCTACGAACTAATTCTTTCTTCCTATACTATATCCTTATTGCAACCTTTGACCTAACCACTCCTATGAATCCGCTGTTCATCTTGCTGTGCTAATGAGGTATGTCAACCTGGACCGATGCACATATGTGCCTGGTCCTACGTTGTAGCTGACTGACTGACTGAGTGACTTTTAATATATAATTCATGGTTACTCTTTTCATTCAGTGAGTATTGTAGCTCCATACTATCGGTGTAATTGTAACCCTTCTTACGAACCAGTGTTTCACTGTGAATTTATATTTTATGTTGAACAGCAGAGTTGTAAATCCCATACTTTTCTAGCACCCGAAGTTTCAAGTTGTTTACAACGTTTAAATTTGTTTGTAAGTTATCAAATAGGTTGGTCTAAAATGACAGGGGACACGTCTTTATCTCTAGTTTCCATCAAGTTTATTTGGTTAGGGTGACAAATTCAAACGTTTCACACTGTTTAAAAACTTGCTAAAATTAAGATCTTATAGGTCGGTCGGTGGACTGAGGTTGGTTGAGTGAGGTTTATATATATATATATATATATATATATATATATATATTCTGGTAAATTGGACAATACGGGATACTTACAGTATTCTTGTAGTGACTAGATCACAACTACAGCAGAGCTGCTGCTCACATATGTGCAAGATAAGCGTAAATCGGAAGTACTAAATTTCGTCATAAATTCACCAATGTTAAGAAAAGGTCATTTCTTTTGCATGCATACGAAATCAACTAGCTGGTTAATTAGCATATTCAGTCAGTCAGCATATTACTGAACAATTAAGAAGTTACACTTTTATTTAGGCTATTTTTCGGGTTCTGAATTTGAACATTTTCATCTCTTTGTAAAAAGCTTTGACCTATGATGGTCTCGGGTAGTTTAAAATACATCTAAACTAGAAGATAAATACAATCATAGCTAGTATCAAGTCAGACAAACAAACAGTTCATTATGTTAGTGGTTTATTAATTAGTTACTATATTGACCACGAAACTCCCCCAAAGTCTTTGTTGTTTCCAATCCTAAGTTCTATCCATCTTTAAGTATCATTGAGAGAGCATATTTGTTCCAATTTCCAAGATTTTGATACCTGATTTTAATTAATACTGAGAAAACGTGCCATAGCATGGTGTTTTATCATCTTAAGCTAGCAATATATCTAATGTATATGGTAAAATATTAATAAGCTTTTGATTGTAATCTACTCTTTAAATGAACCTTGGATTGATAATATGCTCTTTAATTAAATTTTCACTTGTCAAGTCCTTTCTATTTGTTAAGTTGTATTGTATTGAAGTAACCATAAGGCGTGAATACTTTCTCAAGTACTTATTCGTAAACCTTTTGGATCGAATAGATATCCGTAAGGAAAAATTGTAAAGTACTTTTGTTAACTTCACTTTATTATCTAAGTGTAATTTTTTCCAATTAGTTCTGAGTTGTATTATTTGACAATGGTTTATTCAACATTTTTAGAGAATGAGAATCGACGACATAAAATTTATTCTTTGTTGGACCATGATTGTTCGTCAATATGTGATACAATGTAATGTTGCTTATATAACCTACTGTCCATGCATGGGTATGTTTTGTGTAATGGTCGCTTGTATTTTAATAGGTCGGCTTGGAAACCAGATAGAACAGTTCCTAGGTATGATTGCATTTGCAATTAAACTAAACCGTACTCTTGTTTTGCCTCCATGGAACATTATGTCATCTTTGCAGGCTGTAAGTTTTTACAGTTATTTTAATATTCTTCAGAATTTTGTGCCTTTTGGAAACTTATTTAACATCACTACACTTCTACCAGTTCATCAGGTTGTTTCACTGGAGAGTTTTATGTTGAATGAAGCTCCTGTCATCTGGCCAGCAGCTAAACGTACAGGTACCTTTTTCAAGCTATTTTGCATTTAAAAGCGTTATGCTTTCGACCTAGATCGGGTCCTTTATTTAATGATTGTAATGCTAAAAACGGGAATCCTTTCAAAGAATTTTGGGATAAATTTAATGTCAGTTTCACAGGTTCTAGTTTCTATTTTCCTCTAAGTACAGATGATCCTAAAGAGAAGTGGGATCAGTTGTAAGTTTTCTAATGCATATCATAAATGTTTCTAAAATATAGATTTCCTTCAGAAACTTACCCAGTTCTTGCATTCATTGGACCGCCTTCGTCTTTCCCTGTTCGTCCTGAAAACCGTGTATTCCATCGTTATTTAGAATGGAATAGTCATATTAATCTAGTCACCGAGAATTTTATAAATCGATGGTTAAATAAACCTGTAGTTGGAGTTCATTTACGTAATGGAGAGGATTTTGTGAGTTGTATTTTGATTTATAAGTTTTATTGTTTACTTGAGGAATCGAGAGTAAAAATTATGCTTAATACTTGTACCCAACAGTAATAATCCTTTTTATCTTAGTGTATGCTTTTTTAGAGTGATTCAATTATTTTCTCTGTATTAATTGCTAGGGTAGCGGTAAGATTGTCTGGTGAACAACCAGGTCATGTGTTTAGATTTTCATCTGTCTGTTGATGCATGGGAAGAATTATTATTGGCTTTTGAATAGCCAATATAAGTTAAAACACAGTACACTTGTGTTCAGTACGGCCTACGATGTTACGGATTTAGGAACGAAAACGATTGAGCTTCTCTAATACGATCAGTTCTCTTGGGAAATGACAACAGTCAGTTATACTTAACACATCAAATCTCGACAGCTAAGACAGGAGGAAGATGGAATTGCAAGTAACTTGATATCACTCAGTCAGTCAGCTATAACGTAGGACCAGGCACATATATGCATCGGGCCAAGTTGCCATACCTCATTAACACAACAAGATGGACACCGGATTCATAAAAGTAGTTAATTCAAAGGTGATAATGTATAAAGGAAAGATTGCGATAAGGATATGGTACAGGAAGAAAGAACTAGTTTGTAGAAAGAAAGATATGAAGCGATTTTAATCTCTTAGTTTAAGAGAAGATAGAGAGTGTATACACCGACGCCATTGTGATAGATTCTGAGCCATGTCACCAAGAGTCTCCAACCATTGGTTACGATAGTCACGCGGACCGCAACCAAGTAGTCTGCATCTATCAACATGGCTCAGACTAAAAGTTAGTGACTTCAAGCACTGATGCCACGTTTTGGTTTGGCCGCCCCTAACTTTCTTCCAACCATCTCCAACACCGGTACTATGAATACAGAAGACCACTGTATTCATAGTAACTTGATATTGTGGTAGGAAAAGCAACTCGAACGAAGTTGTCACTATACTAGCAGAATATGACCTTCGAGCATGTAGCAATTTAGCGAACTAAAAAACATGGCAACGAATCAGAGAGTAAAGGTCATGCGGAAAATCGAATTGGTAGGAACTATACGAGCGGTTATCGTTCCCGAAGATGTTTTAACCTTTCTAATAAAATCTGACTATTCTTGCAACCGCCTTAGCAACTTGTTTGCAATTTCTTAGTTGCATTACACCTAGGTGTTTAGTATATATCTGTTTTAATTTAAAAAAGGGAGATAATGGCTCACTAATGTAAAATAGCCGATTCTTAATTTTATTGTTTTTGTTAATATCTCATTTCTGAGAAGGCTAAACAAGCAAGTAAATGCGTACTTTTTCTACGTGTATACTTTAGTCAAATGCTTGCTCACATTTAAAAAGTGGTTTACGTATCTTGTTCTCAAGCGCTCAGTGCCATGGTGATTTTAATGAACTTCCTCCTTACAAAGTAACAGAAGATATGTGCATCCCCTCAAAAGAATTAGTTCTTCATACAATTTCGTACGGTGTTCGTTTAATTAAAGCAAAAACTATATATGTATCTACTGATAATGATCCTATGTTGTCATTAATTCGCCGTCACTTTAGTGATACAACTGTAAGTGAAGACATTTCATTTATTTTAATCAACGTTTAAAAATATTTGAAAATATTGTTTCTAAGTGTTGCAATTACTCAGTTGAATGTTTAATTTCCCTACATTTTTAAATCTATAAAATGTCAAGGTGTTCATATACAATAGGCTTTTATGGAGTTTTTTATTTAGTCTGTAGTATTTGTAGTAACAAGTTTTTTTGGTATGTCATCGATGGATAGTTTATTTAATCAATTTTTGTCCTCACTGAGAACCTCATCTGTATCAAGGTTCTTAACTAGTAGATGAGTATCTCTTAAAAAATAGTTATACTAAGATTCTCTCGAAAGACCTTTAGTTACTTTTTCATATAAAGTATGAAAAAAAATACAGCAAGACTCCATTCGAAATAAATTAGAAGCTATAGTGTCTAACATTTGTCGATGAAAACGATTGAAATTCCGTAGAGATAGTCCAAGAAAGCCAAAGTAGAAATATGTAATTGATACTAAATAATCAGTCGTTATAAGTTATACTGATGGATCGAAGCTGCTCCCGATCGAAGCTGCTTACCCGATCGAAGCTGCTCCCGATCGAAGCTGCTACCTTGACGCGGTGGTCGGGCTTGCCTATCGTGATGACCCAACCGAGCTATATTGGCTGGAACATATGTTCCTGCAGGTTCTACCATGCCAAGCAGGTCGATTGGCGAACGGTAAGACTAAAAGCAGCAACTCAAGGTCTGAGGGCGAAGTCGTACTGCTGACTGTAGAGAGGTGTGACAGCAGTAAGGTGTTTCCCTCGGACAACCAGCATGACAGCGATGCTGCCTTCCCACAAGGAGGGGTGGGGTTAGAAAAGGTCGACCCTAAAAATGCACACCTCACCTTACCTCACGGATTTCCGTCTCCGGCGGTAAGGCCCCTTGAAGAACGGAGCTAACATGTCAAAAACCTTCCACAAAAAGGCCGTGCGCGACCGGCCTCAAGCAGTTGTCCCTTGGGCTCTGCGGTCACGCTCCCAGGTCGTCAAGACCAACCCTAATCCAATTTCCTTTTCAGGTTCATCAAGAAATACCCTTCCACGGTGTGGGCAGCCGGGAAGTGACATCAGCCCTCATACCCATAACAGCACAAGAGACCAAGGTGGTCACATTCAAATCCTTCCTACACCTCCTAACACCTCTCTTATCCTCCCGACTAACCCTCCTCACGTCTCTTTATCACCTCGCACCGCTAGGGCAAACGATTCGAGTACGTGGAACGCTATTCCTGGTCTCCTGAAGCCACGCTCTAAACTACACGTAGGAGCTTTTAACGTACGAACACTTTACCAAATAGGACAGCAGGCTTCCTTAGCTAGGACTTTAGAATCTCGCGCCATCGATGTGTGCTGCGTCTCCGAAACGCGCATACAAAATCCGAGTAGCGTCATTCATTTGACCTCACCATGCCAAAATAAAGAACCGACTCGATTTACGCTTCGTGTATCTGGAAGCCCTGATTCTGCTTCCCGTGGCCTCGCCGGCGTAGGTATAGCATTGAGTCCTAGGGCAGAACTAGCTCTCTTAGAGTGGATCCCAGTAAACAGTCGTTTGTGCGCTGTCCGACTGAACGGAACAGTAAGAATCCGGAAAGATAGGGACACTCGTCGTTGCCTCTTCGTCGTCTCTGCCTATTCTCCCACTGACTGCAGCTCAGATGATGTAAAAGATGAGTTTTACAGAAAGCTTTCGGACCTTCTCCGAAAAGCTAAGCGCTCGGATGTAGTAATAGTGGCCGGTGACTTTAATGCTCAAGTAGGTAAACTAAGCGATAAAGAAAGACACCTAGGTGGATCCTATGGTGTCGTGGCTCAAAGAACAGATAATGGCGACCGCCTGTTGCAGCTATGCTCAGATAACCGCCTGTTCCTTGCAAATACTAACTTTAAGCATAAGGAAAAACATCTTTTAACATGGCGACCCCCTAATTCGTCCCAACGTTGGACCCAAATAGATCACATCGCTATCAGCCACCGATGGAGGGGCTCGATAGAAGACTGTCGCTCATTCTGGAGCACATGCTTAGATTCAGATCATGCTCTAGTACGAGCGCGTATTTGCTTGCGTCTTACTGGACGTAGGAAAGATCCTGCAAGGAAACCTCTTAGGGCCCTACTTAATGATAGTCAAGCTAAGAGTATATTTCAGGAACAACTAGGAAAACAGTTAGGCAGCCATGTATGTGATGCCCACCCCGAGGCAGCATGGAACGATATCCGAAAAGCTGTGGAAACAGCAGTGATATCTGCTAGTAAGGTAAACCGTAAAGTTAGGGAGCAACACTGGATCTCAGCAGCATCTATCGCACTGATAGATGCTCGAAAACTCATTCCACCTGGCTCTGAACATAATGAAGAGCGGAGTCAGCTTAAGCGCAAGCTGACAAGAAGTCTACGCAATGATCGCGAACAGTGGTGGGTAGCGAAAGCAAGAGAGATGGAAAAGGCAGCGGCAATAGGTAACAGCAGACAATTGTTTAGACTCGTTAAGGAAACCGGAATTAGGAACCCGACCGTTAGCGAAACAATCTCAGAGAAAGATGGACATATTATTCATTCTCAATCCAGGAGATTGGATCGATGGGCAGAACACTTTAGGGATCAGTTCAACTGGCCTTCAGCCACACTTCGGTTTCCCACGATCTCCAGTCAACCTGAATGGCAAGTTAATGTAAGTCCTCCGTCCCTTTACGAAGTTGAAAAAGCCATAGGAAATCTGAAACGAGGGAGAGCAGCAGGCCCTGACAGGTTTACTCCTGAGATTTTTAAGGATGGTGGTCCAGTATTAGCAGTGAGATTAACCGATGTCTTAGGTAGAATTTGGGAACTGGACGTAATCCCATCTGACTGGTCTCAATCACTGATTGTGCCAGTTTTTAAGAAAGGACAAAAGTCCTCTTGTGACAATCACAGAGGAATCAGTTTGACTAATATAGTGTCTAAAATATTAGCCTCAATAATACTTCGACGCCTAACTAAAGCTCGTGAAGAGCAGACTAGAGAAAACCAGGCTGGTTTTCGACCTGGACGTGGTTGTATAGATCAGATATTCACACTACGTCAGGTTCTAGAACACAGACACACATTCAGACGCCCCACAATGGTAGTATTTCTCGACCTTAAGTCGGCATTCGACTCCGTTGATCGTGAGGTTCTATGGCAGTGTTTGTCACTGAAAGGAGTACCAAAGAAGTACATTAACCTTATAAAGGCTCTCTACTCGAACACAACTGGTAGAGTGAGAGCTTATGGCGAACTGTCATCAGAATTGATTATCTCAAGTGGTGTTCGTCAGGGCTGTCCACTGTCTCCATTCTTGTTCAACTTTGTCGTTGGCGTACTTTTAGAGACAACACTTTCCTCATCTAAATTTCCAGGGGTTGAACTTCTACCGGGAGATTCACTTGTTGACTTAGAATATGCTGATGACATAGTTTTATTTGGTGAAGACGCTGACAAAATGCAGAGTCTTCTGACCACTCTAAGCAACAATGCAAGCATGTTCGGGATGCGATTCTCTCCCTCGAAATGCAAAATGTTGCTTCAGGATTGGGTTACATCGACACCCGAACTAGTGATAGGGAGTGAAGTAGTTGAGTGTGTCGACCGCTTCACTTATCTTGGAAGTCTCATCAGCCCTTGTGGTTTGGTGTGTGACGAAATCTCAGCACGGATACAGAAGGCTCGACTAGCTTTTGCCAACTTGCGTCATTTATGGCGTAGGCGAGATATCCGTCTATCAACCAAAGGACGTGTTTACTGCGCAGCAGTTCGTTCCGTCCTACTTTATGGCAGTGAAACATGGCCGGTAAGAGTAGAGGATATCCGTAGGTTACTAGTATTCGATCATAGGTGTCTTCGAAACATTGCTCATATATCATGGGACCATCGAGTAAGTAACACAGTTGTTAGGAAACGGGTACTAGGTAAGGATGGCAAATCAATTGATGAAGTAGTGAAACTTCATCAGTTGAGATGGCTGGGACACGTGTTACGTATGCCCAACGACCGACTGCCTCGACGTGCTATGTTCAGTGGTATAGGAGTAGGTTGGAAGAAAGCTAGGGGCGGCCAAACCAAAACATGGCACAAGTCCATGAAGTCACTGACAAGTGAACTGAGTCATGTTGGTAGGTGTAGAATACCTGGTTGGGGACCGCGAGATGACAGCAACCGATGGTTAGAGACCCTGAATGACATGGCTCAAAACCGTTTGCAATGGCGCAGGTGCATCCACTCTCTGTGTTCTCCCAAACTCTAATCTTCTGAATTCTTCATGTCCCTTTTTTTCCTCTTTCCAAATTTCTTTCACTGGATTATACTCTTTAAATAACATCTCCAAACCCTAATCTTCCCGATTACTGCTTATACTCTTGCTACCTCTACCACTACGGGATTTGAATCGACCACTGCATCTCTGTGCTAATGTGGTGTGGCAACTCGAACTGATGTACGTACGTACGAAGTTCTACGTTGTTACTGACTGACTGATACTGATGGATATACTAATTATTGTGTGTGTTTGTTATTTTAACTAAGTCGCCATTAGTAATGACATCGATTAATATTTACAGGCTCTTCCATTGTTTTTACCGTATCTCCAAGTAGAAGCGAAGCGCCGTCTCTTACTAGTCCTGAGAAACTTCTACTTTATAACAACTGGTTATATTTATGTGTCGTCTTCATAAATTAAGATTTGTCGTATTTGAAGCATTTCATTTATTACGAAGAATTCATATAGAATTAAAAGGGTCACTTGATTCTTATCGGTGGATTTATGAAATTATCAAATTTTGAGAGTGAAACACCCCTTTGAACAAATGAGTTTATTGCGGTTAGTCCCTATTTGTTTGTATATGGTCTTTGAAGCATAATTATAAGATTTCTTTTAATTTCTTAGCTTTAATATTAGATGAAGCAGGACACGATTTATATAAGTCCTATGGTTGATTAGTGTTAAGGTTGTTTATTCACCTTTTATCGCAAATGGATGTTTAGGAGGTAGGTTTCTGAAGAAAATGTTTTGGTATCTATACACTTCTATCAAACAAGTGGTATGACTTCTTTATTTATTTATTTATTTTAACACATAGATATTGGTACAAAGAGGCACCAGATACATATGTGCCACACAAATCTTATTTGATATGTGTGAGGGCTGTGATACTGCCCGGGTTCCCAAACTGAAGCAGGTGGTTTTCTTAGGGGGCCACACCCGGTGCCTTCGACCTGAAGGTCTGATCCACAAGGCAGTGGAGCATCATGAGGAGCTGCAGTCCCATGATAGCCGGTGATCAACGATTGGTTCATACGCCACTTGTTCGTTCAGGATACTGGAGCCCATGTGCACCATTGGTTTGGAATGAGGGTTGTCCAACTCCCCTAAGTGGACTATCCATGTACACCATCCCGGTTAGAGCGCCGCACACTCGCTTTTCGTCTTCTCAAGTTCGTAAACAACACCTGTGGTGCGAGAAGGCAATGAGTAGGACTTCCCTGGCAGAGGCTATATACGCGTGGCCATGTGAGAGCATTTCGAGAGGGGGAGCGGACCCTCCATACTTTCGGCCGTACCAGGGCATTTGGGGGCGGTATGACTTTACCTTTACAATTTCCTTCGTTTTATCATTCTACGTCTCGGAGTTTCAGTCTTTTTGAAACTATTTTAGATCACCTATTGTTGTATCCGTATTTTCCAACGGTTGTTTGTATTTATTTATTTATTTCCAAGTAGGTTCATGTAGTTTTCTGGGCAGTATTATAATGGTAGCCAAGTCTAACAGTTGCCCATCTTTTCATCCACTATGTGACCCATATAATGGCCAGTCTTCAATGCACTAACTTTGGTGTATATCATACTTTTGTTGAGGCACTCATCCTGTTCTCTAAGTAGTTTTCGAAAATATGGGTATCTTCATCTATTTGGTACTTCAGCAAATCAACGTTAAGCAACATTATTCATAAATTGTTCATGTGAAACATAATCAGTAATAATTACGAAAAATTGAGCACTGATTAGAAAGATGTTCAACATTAGCTGTAAGATTCTCTTGTCTTTTACAGTAGATATTGTATGGGGTGAAATTGTTTTCCGACTTGTTTTCAAATACATTTGTTTCATATCAGTTTTTTCGGAATTTTCACTTAATAAGAACGCTTTTTAAACATTTGTTCTACTATGGACTGTTTACTATGACATTTTTATAAAATACATTAGTTCTAGTCTTCGTTTACAATTCCATACTGTTCAGATAAAACAGTAGACCAACTAACTCTGGTTTATATTGCGTACATTTAGGAAGTTTAAGAACACTTGAAAATAATGACGACGTAAATTATAAGTAAATGATAATGCACTGATTAAATTAACGTTTTTCAATTTGTCATATACCCACTATTATGTGCCGTTCACTGTGCTTTACGCATCGTACAGCCTCTAAGAAGGTTTCAAACTATTTAGATTTGTTCCTTTGGTTAATAAATTATAATTCTGATGAGTAAACAAGTTTTCGATAACGCCTCGTTATTCTTAATTGATTACTTTTTCTCTCAGTTTGTTTTTTTGTATTTATCCAAGGTCATTCTCATCATTACATAAATAAGATTGTCGTACCACATTTTTGATTTTTGGAAATACAGCGCTACCTTTTCAGAAACTGTTTTTTTCTGTGGCAACGTTTGGGGTATATGGTGTTTGAAGTGTTGTCGTTAGGTAGCAGAAGCAGCCAGTAGGCAAGAATGAAAAGGAGATATTTCTATTCAGGCTTTATTTGCATAGGAATAAACCACTTTCTTGACAATCGGGGGTGTAAATATAAATGCACAAACATCGAAGTAGTTATTAGAGGAATGTCTTAAGTTGTTGGAAATATGAAACCTTTTTCAGAAGCAATCTCAAGTATATTAAACCAAAAATCTTCAGTGTACACAGATATCATCAGCAATATCTTCATGTTTACTTGTGACTCAGAAACTAATATATGTTTATTTATTTGAACACATAAATATTGGTACAAGGGGGCACCAGATTTATATGCGCCACACCAGAAACTAATATTCCATCCAATAAATGGCATTGACGTTACATAAACATTTTAGCGTCCAGTTTGCACACCAATAAAACTCATGGAGTGTAATACGCTATTATTGAAATTGCTTTGTATTGAACTTGACAAATATCACCTTACGTTACATAGAAATTCATTCAGCTGTGCCTTTGCAGAAACTGTGTCGGCGCTCAGCTAGTTGTTAGCGGATCATTCATCTATTTCCAACTTGTGGAGTGATGCATTCGTGCTCTATGGTAATATTCTGCAACTACGACTTTAATAAATTGAACGAGACTTCATATGGCCTCATCTTTCCTACCCTGGTAACAAGGGTAAAAAGACCAGTTTAGTAATGGAAATTTTGTTGATAATACATTCAAGTTAATCGTTTATGCATCAATTACGATGATTAGTATTTATAAACTGTGTATTTTTTGCTAAACACAAATCATAGTGAAAATGTATTGAAAGTTCATAAACAATGAATAATTTATTGTAACGGAAATTCACCCAAATCAATATTGATCTGTTTTCTCATAAGTTGTGTTTGGGGAGTGCATATCGATAGCTCTAAACACCTCTCTGACCCTAAAGAACTGAATCAATCTAGGGAATACCTACACCTCATAACGTATCTACTCTACGTCCCTCCTTAGTACTGGATAATTAATATTAAGCATTTTCTCCACCTCTACACGCGAAACAGACACTAGTTTACTATTTACTCGGAATGACTATCAAATGAAACTGGATAGACGGCCTCTAAAGAACTAAAGAAACTGGTCGAAACTGACCTCTTGATGCACTATGATCGAAATTCCGGTTAACATTTGCAGCTGCATACGAAGTGGGTGTTGTTATGAATTCCCGAACGAAGCAGTAGAACAGTGATACATTCAGAACACAGACAACAGCGTGAAGACGTTATGGTCATGTGTAGAAGAGACACCATTGGTTGCTTTTACGGCACTCCATTTACACAGTAAACATTTCAAATTACCAACTGACCACAGGCGTCTATTAGCAGTCTTTGGTTTCAAATTGAGAATATCCGCACATTCTGTAAACCGACTGAAACAGTAAACGATAACGTTATTGGGATTTGATCTCGACATCTGTACTAACAGATAGAAGGTTTTGGTCAGGGAATCTGTCCAGAGGTGCAGACTTCGGACTTTGTAGAATGAACCCTAAATTTCTGTTTATCGCTAATGACCTGTCATATTGTTGTGCGTGCTACTTATATTGATATAAGTAGTATATGACGCGAGTCAGGAATGTAATGTCTGGCAGCAGAAGATGGGGGAAGATCAAGAAAGCTAGAGCGGGAATAGAATGCAATTTGTATGAAAATGCAAGGAGAATGAAGTCTGAGGCATTTTGAAACAATTGGTGGACATTTTGCAAATTAACTATTTGATATATGGTTCTCAGATTTTATTGAGATGCTCTGTAATTCTGTGTTAAATACATTCGATTGTACCCACCCGTGTTCTGTTCACTGCAATATGAGCACAATATACTTCAGCAATTTACTCTTGACTTAAACTATCGAAATCCAACGCTTACACGATTTATGTAAATACCCCACAAGTATCTTGGAGTGTTTTAGAAGTAAAAACATGGTAACTAGTAATCCGAAGTTCGTTTTTACAGTTGTCTATGCATGTTTGCGATTCGTTTTTACTACAATATAACGCTTGATTGCGGCTTACCCATGGACCTGGATTATTTGTTTCAAATTCTCTTAACAGTTTGAATGGAATTGAATCATAGTTGCAGCACTTGTAGTCTTGAGTTCCTTAAAGTTTGTCCTAAATAAAAATCAAATGTGGTAAATGAAGTCAACTTATTGGTAATTGAAAATTCCTTTACACTTCCATGCATGTACCTCCTACTGATTATCAATCGTTTCTCGGTTTGTATCTGAAAAAAAATTTGTTTAATATTTTGTTGTGTTTTCAGTGTTTCTGGACAATCAGTACTTGATTATAAATATGACTCCATTTCTTAAAATGATTATTAGGTAAAACGTGTTGTGTGGGAACCTAATCGAAAACCTGAAGAAGATTTGGCATTGTTAGGTAGAATCGATTTAGCTATCCTCAATTGTGTGTCAACTTACTCTGCTGCGGTGAAACGTGAACGGGATGCAAAGAATTTACCCAGTATGTTTTTCGGATTAACTATTGAAAATCAAAGAGGATTGGAAGTGTTGTGCAATTCGAAAAATAAAGCTGTCAACTACTGGTGGTCGAAACTGTACCAAAAATAAGTTCTTAGTGTATCATAAATATGTTAGTGTTTTCTCCATTTCTTAGATTGTATTTTTCGCTTGTTTACTTTTTTATGATTATAAAACTTGCATTTGTTATAGTACTCGGTGTAATTTCTAGGATGCCTCGTTAATACGTGACAAGGTAAGATTCATAGCACTTCACTCATGGTAATAAATAAAACATAGATTTCTGTTTTTGGCGTAAAATCATTACAATATTTTGACCGATTGTTGTCAAGAAATACATAAAGCATATAGATCATCAATGTAGGCGATCTATGTGGGTGGTCTCGGTCTACTCATGTTGATTGACCTGGCTTACATCAAGATCACATCCCGCGGTTAATACTGGACGTGAATTATCATTTCAAGATACCGTATTGTACTGGCATGACATTATTAAAGAAGTGTATTAGTAATAATAGGTTGGGGAAATAGTGCAACCACTGCTGCATAAATCAATCCATGGCGTGTTACGATTAATACGCGTTGTTTGACCTTAGGATAGCTCACTAAACTGTTCGGCATTCAGTGGCTTACCTGCTGGATGGTTTGATCAGAGCTCAACTTACAGATCATTGGTAGACGGTAAATACATTAACGGGGCAGATAGCACCCACGACTACAATGGACACCTTGTCAAGTCTTAAGACTTAGGTCCAGAAGCAGTATCCTAACATATTTCAGAGCAGTGCTAGACGGTGCCAATTTATTTTAACTTTGAGTGCCAGGGGAATATTTTGGCCGACAATAATTGACGGCTTCGGTTGTCGGCTACAACCGTCAAGACATTCCCGGGGCGCACTCTGATGGACATATTCAAGCGCCATCTACCACACTGGACAAACAAAGACTAGACCCCAATGTTACACTAAGTCACCAGTTTCTCTCAGGTGAACCTGTGTCAGTCGACAGATGATAATAAACTTGAAGAGTAGCACGGTACTTCTCATATATGATGTCTTACCAATAATTGACACTGATTTCTAACAGTTCAGCAATCTAGAGGACGTCTCCAGGAACCGCATTCTGGTATGCACTAATCACAACGTCGACTTTGAGAGGACCATATCCATGAAAACCTCTAGTCACCTGTAAACCATAACACAACACTGGTAAATTTGTCGACCTATTGAGGCAGTTTATTAGTCTGTCACAACCAATTTTTCAACTAGAAAATCTGGGACAAGTTTGTACACCATTTGGGAATTGAAAGACATCTGTCTTCAATTTCTTTTGACCTCTCAATCCTAAAGAATTTGACAATATGTTGAAATAGGGTATTACACTAGACTCCAATAGCCCTCCTATCCCACCACTGCATATATTCCAGGAAAACAACGACGTTCGACATTGTGCTCAATTTAAAGTCCTTAATAGTTCGGTTACTCCAGACAATTACTATTCACTTCATTTCCAAGGCTTTACCAATACTTCGCAAAAAGTAACCATCTCATAAGCCGATTTCATAAGAGTATATTGCCGATTTAACCTAATAATATCCCAAGGGCCAAAAGGAAGATAGATAAACTGGGTTTTTTAGCCTGATAAATGTGCCACAAACATCTTAGCACCCTATCGACCAATCCCTTAGAGGTTTACATGGTACGGACTAGTTTAAATGAAGGTAGTGGTGGTGGTCGTCTCGTGAATGCTGATGGAGGGTCGTGTTTTTATGTTGAGAATGGATCTATTCCGATTTGGTTACATTAATACTACACTGCCATTGTGGTTACACAAAATCGTATGACGTTTTGCTATTATGTAGTTTTAACGTTCACTAAGAGTCGAGGAAGTGTAGCAGCCTTCAGAACATGAATTTTTGTAAGATACATTTTAGCTTTCAGACGTTATGCTGAACACTGAAATAAATACTGTTATGAAGTCAGACTTTGGTTGGGATACTTCGACTTAAAACTGATTGATCACTGGGTAGTGACCAATGTCATATGTGTCGGGTCCTTCTTAGTGCAGATTGGATTATATCAATCACGTTGCAATCTGGTCAATAGTCGACGTCGCCTGTACTATGTCGAGGTGTAGGAGGTAGACGACAGGAAGCACCGGACCTGGGTTTCAAGCTACTTAACTTTCGTCAGCAAGGGTTACCTGTAATCTCGAGAGAACCGGTGCCCTCGGACGAATTCGATCTCGAAAGTTTGTGCGATTTTCAATTTCGTGTCCAATTTATATTT